AAATAACAAACTTAATTCAGTGAAGCTTTCGGAACTCGGAACGATGTTTTGTTTCTTCAGCACAAAATATATTTATATATTTATTGGATAGAACCAAGTACTAAATGGTTCGATTACCCTTTCTTAGATTGCTTAAGTCAGCTGAATAGTTTGCATATCATCACTGCTATGAACCTCCATCAGAATTAGCTCTTGTTTCGTTATACTCGAGCACAGTTCACACTCTTTATTTCGTTCAACTCAGCAAGTAACCACCTTTCAGATGTTGACTTCATCCAAGATAAAAGAGGTGATTGCAAAACCGAGATTCAAGCATGCTTTGGATTCTTTGACTCTGTGAATGACTACAGCCTGCGCATAACACTAACGGAAATAGGACAAAGTCGAGGCATTTATATCTTTATCAGCCTGAAGCCTATCAGATCATTGATATGGCCAGTTTGAACCCACAGGAGTTAAAGTGGGACATGGGTCAGAATGCAAGCTCATTGAAATGTGTCAGATGTGATGTTAAAGGCGATTATTTTGAGTTGCCTGGAAAAATGTCAAGATTGACAATGGAATTTTAAACGACTGGACACCCTAGATTCATTCTTAATGAAAACCGAGATGCTGGACAGATAATATTGTGCGATGAACATAGCGTAACATCATTCATGCCACAACGATCTCATGAAAGCATGAGAAGCAGCATACGGTTGCATATAATCCTAATCCCGTGAGACGTTTGTATAGAAGACGACACAGTGCGATTATTACATTTAGACAGGCCGCCGCGCCACAAGTTTTGGGGTGCCTGTTAGTACCGATATTTGGAGTTGCAGTTTATGTGTATTTCATGTAATTTTAAGCGATGCCTTGCTTTTTCTTTAGCCCGTACCCTTTATTTACTGTCGCAGCAGCATCCATGTTGTTATATCGTCTATTAGAATTTGGCGTTTGTTAGCATATTAACGTTAACGAACCGATATTTGTACTCCTTTGCGAATGGGCACCGTCTCCTTTGGTATTCCTAGCAGTGTTACAGTGGGTGTATTTTTTAGCCATTAAATCGATGTAAAGTGCATACAGCACTGAACGTATTCTAATGCAGTAAAACCAATGAGTATTTTAGAAGACGTCCGAATATGTTAATAGCTAGGGAGCGGTGCAGTGGTCGTTGAAATTCGATGATTAAGAACCTTGTGCGCGTTTTAATATGATCTAATGAAAGACTACTTTCTGTCCTAAGGAAAGAGTGATTCGGTTTGGGTATATCGATGTATCACAGCTTGCTAAAATGCTATCAGACGGTTGCCTTCTTAATTTACCCCTTGGTTGGACTCCTACTAGACGGGTTTATGTTACAGTGCTGTGCAAACCAGCGGATTAACATGTGTCGATTCATCGCAATTGTGACTTCTTGTAGTACTTACTTACTTTTGTAATGTTCGTAGTACTCGTACCACTTACTCGTAGTACTTATTTACTTGCAGGTTACGGCAAAGCCGGGGATATAATTGAGGTGATGTCGCATATAGCAAGAAATTCCCTTTTCTTGGGTGGCCATGCCGTTTATGCCTCCGACTTTAATCTGCAAAAGTACGGTTTCTCTGAGAAGGTTTGTTGTCTTATTTTTATTACTTTGTCTGATATGCGTTTAAATAGTGTCGTTATAGGCTTCTGAAACAGCTGCGGGTTCAGATTTGTCATTTATGAACAGAACTAGTCGTCATTTGCATCAGATGGTGTTGAACATAACCATGAACATGACAGTTCCTTGGACTGTGGAAAAATGGCATGTTCGTGTCTCCTTCAGGAAATCCGTAAGCAATATTTTCATTCAATTTTACAGTTTTGTATTCTCTTCCGATCGTAGACGAGGGTAACAGCTACTGGAGATTTTTCCAGTAAGCAAAGAATGAATGCAAAACTGAAAGTAACCGCTGAAATATCGGTCTTCTTTACCCTTATATAATGAAACCAATTCCAGTTACTCTTATTCTCATGAACTAATGGCAGGAACATTGATCTCGATTTCGGCATCATCATCTAGCAGTGACGTATTTTTTAAGGGCTGAATAGACAGCAGCTACGTGACAAGCATGGTCTGTATTCTCCTGTTTTCTTCTAACTCATTTATCAGAGTGTTACTCATTATCAACCTCAGATG